AGCGTCCGGGAACTCGTGGCCTCGGGCTGCCACGTCCAATGGTGTAAGTTAAAATCCCCCGCAATCAGTACTCGATCCTCAGGTTTGGGTTGCCAGGCCGCTAGGATGTTCCTGAGAGCCTGGCCAGATCGCAGAGAGCCACGAGGGGCGTTGTATACGTTGATGACTGTGAGGACCTCCTTCGTTCCTGAGAGGAGTCGTAAGAAGAGCAGGTCTGTGGATGGATCGGGTAGAGGCCGTGTTTGTACGCCTCGTACCCCAGTTCCTCTGCGGAGGTAGGTAAGTACCCTGGGACGGTCTTCGGTCCAGTTATCTACTGGGGTGAAAGTCTCAAAACCTGGGTGGTGTCTTGTGAGCCTCCTCTCTTCCGAACGGATAGACGGCTCTTGTATTAGGAGTATATCGATCTGGGCTGCGTAAGCCAGGTTCAGTGCTGTTTCGTGGGCGGATGCCCGCCTGCCCACATTCGCTTGCATGATTTGCAGGGTTTTAGAGGGCTGTATTCTTCTTTTGTGTCTCATTCGTCGGGGTACAGTCCATCGCTTGTTCTTCTTCACGGGAATGTCGATGCGACTGCTGGGTCGCATTTCTCCATAATCTTTCTCCCTCAGCTCGGATGGCCCGTAGCTGAGCCTTATCCCTCCTCTGGACTACCCCCTTCACCACTTTGGGTTGGATAGGGCAAGTCGCATCGAAGGCGGCGTGAGGCCCGTTACACGACGGGCATTTAAAGGGGCAGTCGCAGCCATCGTGACCCTCAGTGCCGCCGCAGGGTGCCCGGTGTTGATCAGTTGTGTGGGAAGGAGAGCTGCACTTGAGGCATCTCTTCCTTCTGGTGCACGTTCGTTCGTTGTGAAAACCGCCGCAGCGGAGACATTAAGGAGACCTCTTCTCCTTCGGGAACTGCAGGTTTACAAAAACGCTGGCCCCCATCAAACAGAGGCGTCTTAGTAATTGCCTTACGGCTTCCGCCTTGAACCAGGCTATCACCGTGCCTAGCCTTTCGACTTCGTCCTTCCTAGAGAAGTATGCTTTTTCAGGCTTGAGTTTCGTCGAGACCTGGATCTCTTCAAGGAGCTCCTCGGTCGTAATTTCCAGCTCAGTATTGGTTACCAGACAATGCCTAGTGTAAGGGACGTTTGCGATATAGGCTCGGATCCAGGTATCGCGTTGCTCGATCGCTTACGCTTGGAGAAGGGCAGCGATCTGTTCTCTGTTCTCTAGCAGGACTTTTGCACCTTCCATTAACGAAGGTAGGAGTGCTAATCCTATCTTAACATAGTCGATCCCCTTAAGGGCTTCTCGGGCTTGGGGACTTAGCCTTTCCCAAACGAAGATGTATATGTCGTAGGCTTTCTCGTTCCGAAGCGGGCTTTCAGGCGATAGACACGCGAAGACGCGTAGATCCTTTAAGGCCGCCCGGTTTGTAGCTTGTTTTGCGGCTTGTTTGGCTAGCGTTGGTTCATCCTGTCTTCTGGACAGTAGCTGGCTCGCCGCCGCCGCGTATGAACGGACTAGGGGCGGCTGGTTCTGGGTTATGTGCGAGGGATGCCCCTGGGAACTCAGGTCAGTCTCGCTAGGCCCTGTGCCAATAGCGTACATAGACCTTGCTAGACCACGTTAATGCCGGTTTGAACGCTGTTTCTCCTCCTGAAGCTCTCTCTCCAAGGATTCGATCTTCGTCAAACAGTCTTTCAAAAACTGTTCCCTCTCGGCGTCCCGACGCAGGAGGTCCTGGACCAGATTCGAAAGCTTATTGATCTCGTCTTTGAGCTCAGAATTGTCCTGGTGGTTGACCTGCTCAACCACTCTGACCTTTGCAGTCGGCTTCCGGACTCGTCCCGACCGCCGAGATATACCGGCGTCCCCGTGAACCGTGATCGATGGCCCTACATCTAGGGAGACCGCCATGGTCGTGGAATTCAGCTCGTATGGGCTGATGTTGAGAGATGATAGTGCAGTGGGCCGTAGCCCTCTATAACCTTAACAATTACTAACAGTGGGTACCTTTTGAGGTATGTGTTCAGAAGTTGCTGTGCAGGACGGGACGGAACATTGGGGAAACCCCAGGAACGGAAGACCTATGGTACAAGTCACGTGATGATAAGAGATATGATAAGGGATAAGGATATGTTGGATATTCGACATATCCAACCGAGTCAAGGATATGTTGGATATTCGGCATATCCAACATATCCAGACAAAGTGGACTGTTCAGCACTGTTCAGTTAGGATCGGACTTGTATATAAGGATGGACTCGAGCTGGGCTCTAGGACAGACTTTCCATAGCTTCTTCAGCAATTAACTTCGTATCAGGATTAACATCCGCTTTCAGCTACTACCTTGACAAGACTACGATTGATCACCGAAGCCTTACCCACCCTTACGATTGACAGACATAGCTTCCCTGAAGCTATCCCCGACTACGATTACTGTTACCAGTTCCGCAGCCTCAACTTCTGCAAACTACCCCTACGACTAGCTGGCCGTAACACTGATCTACTTCACCAAGAAACAAAAAGATAAAAACTTATTAATTATAGTAGGTTTGCCGGATGGGAGGCATTATATAATTCAGGCTAGTAAAGGAGGCTTTTTTCTACACTAGCTCGGCGTTTACTTCGACCGTAAACTTATATTTAAAAGTTACGTAAGAAACCTCTCTTTAAAGGTATGCTAAGTAGTTAATGGACTATAGGGACTAGTGAATACTGTCTGGGGCGCGCCTGTGTACTTATTTTGTTAAGCGATTACCTCTTATATACTACCTACTTAGTACTATATATCTAAAGTATAGTGGCCCGGTAAGAGCCGGATAAAGAATGGACGTATTATTTTAAACGGGGTTGGTAGTTTGTTATACTAACTGGACGCGATGTAAACTAAAGTTATTAGAGCGATGGTCCCCGTATATAGAACGACGCCTGTACCGATCCTATAGCGCGAGGCGGCTCTACCCTTAGTAGAGGTGATACTGGATGCAAAGCTCTACATAGCGTCCACCAGAATCTATCGTCTGGACGAGCGACACCCTCTCCGAACGAGACTCAGGGACAAATCAGGACCAGACTTACGGCTATGACGAATGGCAAGCCTCGTAAGCAAAAATACCGAATACATCGATCCGTTAGAACTCCCCCCTTGGGAGCAACTAGCGGACTGGCAGACAGCCCTCGCCAGGGTCGGCTACGAACCTAATAAGACCAACGAAGAACAGGCCCTCTCCTTTGCAGGCAGGATAGCAACTTTCTCCAAGCGGGACATTATTATCTATACTAACGGGTCCCAGATATCGGACAGTAGCAGTACCTCCGCCGGAGTAGGCTAGGTAGGGTACCAAGCTATACGGCAGATCTTCTACGGATCCGAACTACTCGGCTCCTAAACTGAGGTACATAATGCGGAGGTATATGCTACGTATTACGGCCTGATGGAAGCTACCCGGGCTCCTACGGCTCGTATAGTAGATAACGTCCATATCTGCCTCGATAACCTCGCAGTCGCGGCTAGACTATACTCCCAGAGCACAGGAAGCAGCCAGGCTAGATTTAGGGCCTTCAATAGGCTCTCTTCCTCCTGGACTCGGAGACAAAGAGAGAGCTGGACAACCCCCGCCAGGGTTTATGTTTGGTAGTGCCCTGGGCACACGGGAGTACCAGGAAATGAAGAAGCGGATGCTCTAGCCAAGGAAGCCTGCAAACTAATCCCAAAATCACAACCACAGCCCTCATTAGCGCACCTAGAAAGACAAGCTAAAGCAGCTGCCTTCCAAGCCTTTGCCAGAAAATGGCTGTCCCAATGCCCTTGGCAATATGCCGACCTCGAGATAATTCTTCACCCCAAGCCGCCCGAACTCCGCCTCCCTCGGCACTTACTAAGAAGGCTATACGCAGCAAGATCACATCATGGAGACTTTGTAGTATACTACGAGAGATTCGCTTATCAAGATGCGTTGCTCAACTGTAGCTGTGGGAAACCTAAGACACCAGTCCATTTCTACTTCTGTAAGCGTGGACGTAAGGCTATACCGCGCTACCTCCGCTAACGTATGGCCAAAGCAAGTATTGATTTCTTGTTAAGTTCTGCTAAGGGAGCCTCTCTTCTATGCGAATGGATAGAGGAGACTAATTTCTTTTCCGAAATTTGCCCGAGTTATTGAATAGGAACGTTAAGTGAAGACGGCAGCCTGTAACATAGTTTAGATTAGCATAGACCATGTCGGCATAGCGCCCGGCACGTCCTTTTACTACCAGACGTTAAATACATCATCATCATCATCATCATCATCATCGTTCTAGCCTGCATATATGGTGCGCCGTAGCCGCCGTGGTCCTGCGGGGCAGGCCCTGGACTTGGTCATGCATGTTGGGTCGTAACAACTACGACTAGCTGGCCGTAACACTTTTATTTAAAAGAATTAAGGTAACTTACTTTCTACTAACTATATAAGTTATATCTTCTATTTACTACCTCGCTTTGTGATAACTCCCTATTTCCGATCGCTCTCTTAATTATTTTTGACTTAATGTTTCTCAAAAGCTAGTGTGTCAAAGGTCCTCATGATGCTAACTTCTGGCAAGCAGTGGCAACTAACCACGTGCACCTTTCGACTCTCCTTAGAACCCACTGCCTCCGACATGCTAGGTCTTTTAACTCTAGATAAAGTGGGCGGTTGGGGCAGAGACATGACGACTTGGTGCAATGGAGTTGGGTCAATTCAAGGGCCCAATGGTAGTATTATTCAAGTCAGTTGTGAGGTAGCTAATCTCTGCTCTTTGCCAAGCTGGGTTTTACTTGATCAGGAGACAGTATCAGATTTTCCCAAATGTGCGCAATACTTCATGCGTTCTGCTTTGAAAACTATAGCCGTCATGCAGGAAGTGCCCTGGGTGGGTAGAAAAAATGTGCATGCGGACATCCTACTTGAAGATTTCGACTTCGTGAGGCGCATTTGTTATCATGAGATATAGTGCATCCTGCATGGAAGAGTTAGATGATTTCACGGTTGGGTGCTTTGCAAGCGGGTTCTCACCGAATCCAATGTCTTTCTCTGATCGGGGGGTAAACGCTGTAGAACGCCACTGGAGCGAATTGTCTTTGAGTCCGTATGCTGTGCCTCCTCGAGAGAAATGCTCTCATCCCTCTCGGCGGTAAAGAAATCGGTAGGGAGCCTCCCAACTTCGACTCTCCCTGGTACCAAGCCAAAATCTGAAAGTCGGTTGCAACCCAAATCCCAATGGGTAACCTTATTGCCATCTAGGGGGAGTGTCCCATTCTCTGTGTTTGCTGGATGCTTCAATTCTGCGTATCTTGATGTGGCATGTCGTTGTCGACCCTCGCCGATGTTTTCGTTTTCGTAGTGCTCTTCTATCACTCGGCCTAGTCCCCTCTTTTCCTCGCTTTCGCTGCTAGGACTTCGTCTTCGTCTTGATCGATATGAGTGCCTCAGAGGTGACCGCTTGTTGTCGAGGTCTGTATGAAAGTCGTGCTTTTCGTCAAGTTCGACTTGTGGTGGGATTGGCCACCCGAAATCCCTTAAACTTGCCCCTACTTTCTTCCGCAATTTCAACTTCTTCTCCCGACTTCGATCCAAAACGTTTGTTGAGGTGACGTGTCCCTCTCTCTCAGGTGATGTGTTCGCCTCCTTCGGCTTTGCCTGTTCACATGCGACAAGAACGCAGATGAGGCCCCTTGGACGGAAAAGCTCGTCATTCGCCCTTTTTAATATTCCGCTCATTGCACTGCGGTTCGGTATCCGCTTCTCATGCTTTGCTGCTAGGCCAATTTCCATTGAGATCGGCATGGGATGCAATGCGGTGAGGCCCGTCATGCCCTTGAAGCCGCTAATGTTAATAACATGGTCTCCTAGCGATACTAACTGGTCGTCTACTCGGTTGAGATCGTCTAAGAATCTGAAGAACTCATTCTTGCCGATGCCGCAATTTTGCAAGCCGGGGGGATAAGTTCGCGAAAACTTTGGTCTCGATGTCCTGGATGTTCGTTGGGGGATAATGACTGGTTGTGGCAGTCGGGGCCGAGGGAAGGTAATCGTCGGCAGTCCAGTGCTAGGTAGGAGATAGTCGTCTGGTGGCCTTGGGATGGCATCTTGTAGAACATCAAGATATTGCTGTAGTTCTCTAGATCGTGGTTGCTTTCGCGATTCCTGGTGCTTGGTGAGGTGCCTCTCGGAGATTCTCTGAATCAGAGCAAGGCTTTGACTTCGCTCTTCCTCTTCCGTTCTTTGCCTGTTCTCGTATTTGCAAATTTCGAGGGATTTTGGGTCATTTCCATGAGATGACTGTGGTTTTACGTTTTCCAACAAACCGATAGACTGGCGAGGAATTGCTGCATGTAATGGCTGTGTCCCAGGGAGATATGTCGCCATATTCGGAAGTAACCTCAGTCTGCTCAAATGTATGTCGGCTCACCACCACGGATCAGATCTCAGGCATTCGGGACGATATTGACTACACATTGTGAGTGAGACATTTGGAAAGGAATCAGGAAATTTTCAATGTCGAATGATGTCTGGAATCCTCCGGACAGGCCGGCGGACATCTACCTGTCTGCAACATATCCCGATCCTGGATATGCGGGCGGGACGTTGTAGGAGAGCAAGTGAGACACGCTACTAGTTTGAACTTTCCGGCGGTGTTCTCCGAAAGAGAAAATTACGTGCATAACCGAGTCCGGAGGTCAAGCGCGGCGAGTGCGCAGGCGGGTGCGAATGCGACGAGGAAAAAAGGGGCCCGGGTGCACTCCCAACTCGGACTTCGGCCCTCTTCAAAGGTGAAAACCGACTCCGCCTCCAACGACTCACATAAGTTCGACCAACCAACCCGCAGATCCAAAACAAGTACGCTATGCGAGAAGGGATACCTGTTCTGACGACATTCCTAATCCCACCGGGATCTTGATTGCCATAGAAAAGGGCACATCGTTCCTTGCAATGGGCCGTGCCTAACTAGATACAGCCATCTTTCCGAAGCGCCTATTCTCTTGGTCGATACCGAAGTCCATGATGCATCTGATTGATGACTTCAAAAGCTCTTGAGCAACCGCCTCCACCTGGGTAGTCTGTCCAAATCATGTTCTCCGGTCTCAATCTCTCTTGACTCGTCCAGATCGCGTCGGCGACCGGATATCAGATCAATCTCGCCCACTCTCCAGAAGTGTGTCTTGAACCAGAACTTGTATCCGGACCAAATGATGGGGAACAAGGGCAGTAAGATGTAAGCATCGACGAATGACCCAGCGTCGAATGGCGAAAGGGTGGTCCAACCCTGTACAATTGCCAGGAAGATGTTTGCCGCCAAGCCAAAGTAGGCATTCCATGGGTACCATAACGAAATGAAGGGCAGTGAGCTTTCAGCGTGCCCTTGGGCCTTCCACGCTTGTCTGAACCGAATATGGATGAAAGAGATGGAACCCCAGACGAGGAAAGTCGAGACGCCGCTAAGGTTCACGATGTAGGAGTACGCCTTACTGGCGCCGGTGCTAATGTTCATCATGGACAGTGCGCCACACAAGTTGGTGAACACAATGGCTGGGATAGGTACACCGCGACTATCAGTTCTCCCCAGGATCTTGGGTGCCTTCTTGTCCTGGCCCATGTACAGGAGAGTGCGGGATCCGATGTAGATGGACGAGTTGCACGCCGACAGACACGTAACGAAGATGAAAGCGTTGATCAAATGCACGCCACCTTCCCAGCCGGCGTTCTGAATAGCCACCGTCATGGGACTTTTCACTGCACGGGATCCCCCGTTGACGAGCTCATCAGCGTTGGCCGGGCATGTCAGACCGAAGAAGAAGGCGGATCCCATGTAGATGAAGATGATGCGCCAGAAGACCTGACGAATCGCAAGTGGAACTGCAACGCGCGGGTTCTTGGTCTCAGTGGCGGCGACGGCGACGGATTCACAGCCGGCGTAGAATGTGGAACAGAAGACGAAAACCTTGGCGGTGCCGCGGAAGCCATCTGTGAAGGCGCCGGGATCGCGCCAGTATTTGAAGCCGAGGGCTTCTTGTCCGGGGATTCCTCCGGCAGCGTATCTAATTCTAGATTAGTTTTGGATAATCAAAGTAGATGTCGTGGATGTAGACTTACACGATCGAGAAGATAAAGTATGCGACTAGGCCAATCAGCTTCAGCAAAGCTAGCCAGAACTCGGCTTCTCCGAAAGCCTCAACCCCCAGCAGTTGGAACCCGAGGAAAAGCGTCTAAATGCGCATTAGCAAGTCGTTCCATTTCTTAGTGAGGGTGTTTGAATCTACCCAAAAGATGAGAAAGTATCCCCACAAAGGGACCTTGTCACTCCAGAAGACAAAAATGCTCGATAGCACATTGTACTCATTGGCCAAGACGCACATCCAGATGATGTAGTAATTCCAACCCAGCGCAACACCAAAAGCCTTGTCGACAAAACGATCCGCAAGCCCGGTGAACGCTCCGCCGCTGGGATACAACGTGGTCAATTCACCCAGGCTCTGCATGATGCTGAACGCAATGATGCCGATGACGCCGAACCCGATGAGCAGGGCGGCGGGTCCGCCGTTGGAGAGCGCGCCGCCCGCGCCGATCAGGAGGCCCGGCCCGATGATGCCCGCCAGGGCCATCATGCTGAGGTGCCGGGTCTTTAGGCCTCGCTTGACACCGCTGTGCGGGTCAATGGCTGAGAAATCGGCGTCTGCTGAGGTAGAGTCGTCGGCGTAGCCTGCGCGGCCGACGCGCGCGTCTTCGATGACGGGGACATCATCGCCGTCCTTGTCGTAGGCTCTGTATCGTGACATTGCAGCGAGATGGTTTGTAGAATTGTGGAATGGGATTGCGAGGGGCTGAAGGATTTGATAAGTTGATGATCTTGCCAAGATCAGACCCTATCAGTGGTCCAGTACGGTCTCAGTCGCTTATCAGCCACCCCTCTCTCGTCTAGAGATTCGTGGATTCGTAGGTTGGATTTCCAATGTTGGTTGAGGTTGGAAGAAATAATTCAGACCACGAAGGAATTGGACCCAGCCCGTTGCATCGGTACTTTTAGTGCATTACCGCGAGGTAATAGTCGGACCATTGCAGTTAAGAAAATCTCGTCATATCAGAACGTGTGCAGAGTGACAGTGTTGCGATGGCGGGTTTGCGCCGCGCGATCGCGTCATCGCCTGTCCTTGTCTCAAAGTGTCTCTAATTGGGCCATCGAGGGCCCCGATGGTTCACGACCCGCTTACATGCCGTGTAGTGCGGGGGGCATCCCGTCCTTTTTCACCATCGCTTCCCGTTTAGGAGATTCTATTACGGAGTAGACGTTGATATTCAGTTCGATGGTTGGTGAGTTGACTCGTACGGAAGGTTAATAAATGTGCTGGCATGACAGGCTTCTCGTGTATAATCAGATCGATGCCGCAGTAATATTTCGCTTCGAACATCATTGTTTTGGCACAAGTTAAGCGAGAAATTTACAAATATCACTGTTCGAACTTGCTAGCACTTAGTGGACATGTAGTTATTACCATGGTCGTGTCATTTGTCTAACAGTAGGTACCTTATATCACTCGAGACACTGTAGGATAATCAACTACTTGAGTTCAATTGTTGATCAGTACAAGTAACGTGCGCGTTCCATTAGACAGCCATCATGACATTAATGCAAGTTAGGCTAAGACAAAAAGATCAGTATCCGTCAACTCTTTTCAATACAGGTCTTCAACTTACCGTTGGCCATTTGTAAGACAAACTGAGCAGCAGCATCCGCATCCTCAGCATACGTCAAATGGTCGACAGTGATAAAACCACCGCCATAAACAGCATCGTTATCGTGGCAGATGATCTTGGTCTTGCCCTCAGCGCCAGTAATAGCGCCCGGGTTTCCGGGATCCCCAAAGGTTAAGACAGAGTTGATCTTGGCCATGGTTGCCGCCGGGAGAGAGTTTGCGGTACTCCTGTGGGCAGTACACACTGCTCATCTGGACCAACGAGGCAAGCAATGAGGCAATACGACTGGTATTGACGGTTGGTTGGTGATGTTGTGGTGAAGGTGGCTGCGGTGGGCTGGATCAACCAGGAGGTGGATCAGGCAGCTGGTGCCTGGGGCACCAGCCACTGCCTCAGGTATCCACAGTCCCACAACTCCGGACAACCAAGGCACCCTGAGAGTAACCAGACATTACGATTTTGGTGCTCGGACAGTTTGTGGCAGCTTCATTGATGAAGTTTGTCCTTTGATAGAATTCCAGAATTAGCGTTCGCTCCTTGACTCGCTCGGCGAATCGCCAACACAGAAAAGGCATCTTTTGGAAAAGCTCACATGCTTGGAACACCCTCAGTGCCATTCTTGTTGAACCCAGCAAATGTCGCGGGGTACTCGACACCCTGAATCGAAACAGACTTGGTCCCTCGCTGTTGGTTAAGAGCGTCAAAAAATGGCGGGCCGGTCACAAGTCCGACATTGCCGGGCTCAGTGGTGCCACGAGCGAATATGACGGTGATGTCGGCGCACGCAGCATTCTGCTCCAGGTCGTCCTCCGTAGTGTCGATGCCAACGGAATCAGCGAGACCCTGTTGAAGAGGAGTTAAGATCAATCCGACTGCGTCGAGCGCTGCTGCGTCCGCTGGTAGAGTGCTGATGATCCTGAGGAATTGGTTAAGTGGACCGGAAGGAAACTTGGCCAGGACATCAGGAATGTCTTGTCTGTCCTCTAGATCGAAATGATCTGGTGCCGTTCTTTTTAAGTCGGACATGAGTTCGTCAGCATCCGATGCAGGAAGGCCGTGAACCAAGGAGGCGGATTGCATGCCGACGAAGGCGAGGAGAATTGCCATCTGGCGGGTAGTAAGTGAGGAAAACATCTTGAGGATGATTTCTTAGCAAAAAAATATGGAACGAATGACTTGGCTATCAGATAATACCTGAGATGGACACGACATATCACGAAGAGACAAGCCCGGGGTCTATATACACGAAGGATGCACAGGTTTTTCAATGGCATACGTCGAAGTTTCAGCCAATGGCGCTGATTGACATTGCAGTCGTTATTTACCATTAGAAAGGACCTATGTTCACACGCTTCGGGAAGGTTTTCACACCTTAGACTGGGGAATTTACCCATAAATTAAGTCTGTATAGGGCCTTGCAGTAGGATCACCCCGCATCGATTCCCGAATGAGTTCAGGGGTAGCGCTCAGTTGACGTATCTGGGGCTCAATGGACAGCCGTTGCTAGTCTTGAAAGTCTCCTGGGTCGCATTTCAGCATTGCCTTCAGGGCTTATGCAAGAGACTAGATGAACCGTTGGCGGGTTCTGACGTATGCGGTCGGATGATGCATGCCAAAAAGCTGGAGAAGAACACCAACATCGGTCTTTGAAACACATGAGACGAACTTGGAGAGCATTTCAGCCGAGGCTTGCAAGATCCAGTCCGAAGCACAGGCACAAAAGGTAACTGCCGAATAACGGCAAGGCCACCAACTCCAGCAGTCGGAGGGTAAGGTAGTATCGAGGCCTGCGCTAGTCGGGCTAGCCATGATTTTGAAGGTGCCTCATTGCGACCATCTGAACTACTCCACTTTGGCAGCTGTCTGTGTCCCGTGACATATTAAGCCGATTTGAAAAACCACAGGTTTCCTATCAGAGAACTTATTTATGTTAGGGAGAGATAGATGAGATCAAGCTCATCCCACCAATACCAAGTACCTACCTACCTTGGGGAGACTAGATGTCAATGCCTCGCATGATCTAAACAAATGAAGCAGGATAGGACAGGTAGAAGCAAGCCGGTAAATGGGGAGTTACAAGGACCACAAGACTCCGAGGGAGGAGGCCTTCACCCGTTGCAGCCCAGCACGGTCTCATGCAAAAGACACTCGCCTGAGTATTGTGCCAACATACGGTCTTGTTACCTGTGTACTTAGATGATGAAGTCTTGGTGAGGGAAGCTTTCTGAGGTCAAGATCGCAATACTTCTCGCTTGTTTTCTTCGACCGACAATCAATCCACATAAACACATGCCGTAAAGCCCCTCAAATGCAGGAGGGTAGGTAGCAACATTCAATGCAAATACGTATAATGATATTCTACAGTCTATGGAATTCTAAACGCCAAAAGATTCAAATACAAGGTGCACTGGTTACTAACGTCAAGCAGCACCTGAAAAGTACATGTACTATTGCCTCTTCCTCTACTCCGATTTGCGCACGGAACAGACCGATGATTACCCTACTGAGCCTTTGCCTTCGACTCGTCAATGCCGAGCCGTCCGAGAACAGCGCGAACGCTCTCCCCGTGGTACGAGTACATCCACTTGCAGCCCATGTGGGGACCGACCATCTTGATGTAAGCCCAAATGGTCATTTCCTTGATCCACTGGTGGATGAAGGACGTGGACGTCTTGCGCAGGTCGCCGTTCTGGGTGGTGAATTCCACAATCTTGGACACACGGTCCTTGCGGTGGTCCTCCCACGCCTGGATAACCTGAGGGCGGGCGTTATCATTGAAGAGCGGTGCCTTGATGTGGGCGAGCGTGTAAGCGAGGGTTTCCGCGTCCTCGAAGGAAGTCGCGCCGCCTTGTCCGCCCTATGAGGAATATGTCAGCATTGGCTTTTGCTGTTCTCGAGGTGGTCATCGACTTACAGTTGGAGGCATGCCGTGAGTTGCATCTCCAATGAGGAGCACGCGGCGGCTCGGAGAAGACCATGATTCCTTAGCAGAGAGCAAGTAGAAGCTAGACATGTTCTCGTTAGTAATCTGTAGTTATAACACTTATGGGTCCATCACTTACGGCCAGAGAGTCAACGTCTCAGTCGGGGTCCGGTGGCACAGCGCGCGCACTACCTCGGGCCAACTCGAATCGATGGGGAACCTCTCCTTGATCATCTTCGCCAACGTCTCCTTGTCGGCGTCCAGCGCCGTCCACTCCTCGCGCGGCCGCTCCTCGACCTCAAAGGTCGCAAAATAGCTGACTTCATCGCCGTCTGCCGACGCCGGCATAACGGCGAAGGAACCGTTGCCGCCGAACAGCATGCAAGGGTAGTGCATATCCGTGTCAACATCGGGCAGGTCACTGAGCTTGAAAGTACCAGAGATACCAGCAAGGCCCTGGAAAACGGGCTGGCTGCCGTGCGGGCGCACAAATGACCGCACACGAGAGTGGATGCCGTCGGCGCCGATGATGAACTCGGCCGTCACGGACCCGCCGTCCTCGAAATCTACGGTCGCCGAGATGTCCGTCTCCTCACGGACGGCAGAGCACTTCTTCTCGTAGTGAATAGGCACTCCGAGGAGCTCAAGCTGGCGGATCAGCTCACCGCGGAGGACGGTGCGGCGGATGCGCAGGGCCGGGTAGTTGTACTCTTCATAGCTGCCGTTGAGGACCTTGGCGAGGAGGCCACCACGGCCGTTGAGGAAGGCGACCGACTCGAAGGCAAAACCTTGGGGACGGAGGGTGTCGTAGACGCCGATGTGATCGAGGACGCGGAGGGCGTTTGGTGAGAGGGCGATGTTGCCGCCTGAGACGAAGTCCTTGGGCCTGGCTTCGTAGACTGCGGAGGAGATGCCGCTCTTGTGAAGGTAGAGGGCGAGAGTGAGTCCCTGGGGTACTGGTTAGTCAATCTTCTAATCGCCGTGGAGAGATCTTGGTAATACAGAGAGACCACCACCGATGATAGCGACTTGAGCCATTGTGAAAATTGAGGTTAAAGTGTGAGAATAAGTGAATGGAATGAGTCTCGTGTGTAGTGATTGTAGAGAAAGGTCAGTCTCAAATATCAATCGCTGCGTGTTCTAGATGCTTCAAGCGTTAGTCTGGTGTTTTCGATATGTTCTGTGATGGATCCAAGCTCTAAATAAAATCCGCTCACCCTCCAAGTCGCTTAATCTTATACAAGACTTGGGTCTCGTGAAATTGCACCTATCCGCTACGATGCGGGATCGAGCTAAGCAACGTACGATCGATTGTCCGATACGGCTGCAGCCATCTCCGTCGTCCACGGCGATTTACTGTAGGTGGGGGCTGGCAGAGCCGTCAGCCGGATCGGTCTCCGGTGAGAACGGAGGAGGATGGACGGGCTTGGTGTGACGCCTCAGCGAGACGAGCCTAATGTCTTGCTCTGCGCAACTGCTGCTACTGGTGCCTGGTGTAGGCAGGGAAACTACCTATGTTCTAATGCGCAGATTGGTGGTCAAGTTGGTCATTCACTCGGGAATAACTCTTTCCATGGCATGTTGGAGGATTTCACCCGGCGCGAACGAGCAATGTCTGGTTGAGGGGTGTGGCTGAGCATTGCGCTCATCGTTTACGGTTTGAGTTGGCTCCAAATCCACCAATGGAGGATGAATTCTAAGTCCACACATTTTGACTGACATTCGCAGAGAAATCAACATATACTATTACATGTATCTTTGTCGTGAGTTTAAAAGCAGAATCGCGCGATTCTGGTCCCATCCCTGCATCTTTCAGGCTCCGCGCCCGCGCGCGTTGGTGTAAGCGCCGTCCCGTCAAAAAGCGGACGCTACACTGCACAGCCGCACTCCGCGCCTCAAGATGATTTGGCCTTGAACAGACTGTCCGGGTTTAACGAAACATTCGCATTACATAAGATCAAATGCTGCCCAGGCAAAATGGAGATTTTCGTGATTTTCAATGTATATTGTTTTCTTGGCCATCGTTGCTACAAATTGATTGCATCTGGGGCTCAATCGAACAGGTTCCTTCAACACAAATGCAGAAAAATAAACAGTCCTGATAACAATATTACAGATCTCGGCGTCGGTGATTCTGATTGCGAACTGTACCTCATGTATACATTCACGGTGCACCGATGTTTTCATCATCCTTACCTTGCACTACAAGATCATGACGATAAAGCATCCCACGATAACAGACGTTCACTTCCATACTCAGTAACAATCATTTGGGCAATGAATACTAAGCAACTGAGATGGTCGTTCCGAAGAAGTGCGTCTACTTTACCATCATAGCATGTCCCACTCGGTTCTCAGTAAGCAACTTCTCCATGGATCCGCAATGGACAAAATTCGGGGACCTCATGAGTGGATCGTCCGGAGAGAAGTATCATGAAGTGCAGCTACGGATACAGATACCAGGGAACAAGCTGCTTATTTTTTTGTGGCCTCTGGTATTTTGTCAAGTCTTCTGTTCCTGCGACGTGACTTTCTCGTGGCTTCTAGGTCGGTGTGAGTTGCTACATAGTTGAGTACCAGTGTGGGTTCAATGTTGAATCTTGGCAAAGGATGCAATTGCCGATCGCCCAGCCTTTGCTGGATCTCAAGTCTTCACAACTTGTCAATTCGCTCAACACTGAATACTCTGTAGGTACTTGGCGGTAGCATAAACCTGACAGACCCCACTATGCCAATTGCGGAACTATCGCCGCACTCAGATGTTGAGCTGGCGAATATCGAAGCGGAGGGTCTCCGTCCTCGCGCGTTAGCTTACGTTCATTGCATCAAATATCTTCAAGGGTCCTCGGAGAATGAGCCCACCCGCAAGGCAGCAGTTGCAACTTGCCAGCTCGCACAACCAACGAAGCCAGAGCTCCATAATTGCTCCATTAAATGTCAGATAATGATTTGCCTATGAAAGATATGTGATTCTGGTCTGGACCGAAGGATTCGCACTCCACGAGGCACTGGCCATCGGGCGTAAAGAGATACTTCGAGACAATAACGCCGATCTTCTCGCAAGTTGCAACAGTAAGCACGGCGATGGAACCCAAAGGTGGCAACAGTAACAGTCGACACATCACTAACTTACTCAAGAGGTAACTGATAACGTACAAGTTCAACAAAAAGGCGAACTCGTAGAGTTTAGACATCTTTATTTCTTGTTACATCGTTTGAACGCATATGCAGGGGGGATTATCATTAAAAAAAATCATGCCTTTGTGATGAACATGGACTGCACGTTGCAGTACGCCTTCAGACCGCCAGCGCCGTACTCGTATCCGATACCGCTCTGCTTGTGACCGCCAAACGGCGCGTCGTACTGCAGCTCCAGGTGAGTGTTGATCCAGACGTTGCCGGCCTTGAGCTTCTTGGCGACGTTCTGCGCCTTCTCGAGGTCCTTTGACCAGACCGAAGCGCCGAGACCCATGAGGGTGTCGTTGGCGCGGTGAATAACCTCCTTCTCGTCACTCCACTTGAGGACGGGGAAGACGGGACCTGGGATACCCCCTTGTTAGCTACGGTGGGGAACAATAACCTTGGGTGTTTTCATTTGCAGAGGGGTCGGCGCGATTGAGGGGCAGCGACGGGCGGGCGATTGAGTTCGCCCGTGCATCAATTCACTTTGGGTAACGGGAGAACTCACCGAAAGGTTCCTCGACGACAATCCTCGAGTTGTCGGGCGGGTTGTCAATCATTGTGGGCGTGATGAAGTAGCCCTTGCCGTTGGAAGCGGGCGCCGTGGATCCCGCGGCGACCTTGAGCTTCGTCTCCTCAATGTCCTTGAGGAGCTCCTTGACGCGCTCGAACTGCATCTGGTTCTGAACGGGGCCGAGCATGGTGCCTTCTTGCTGTCCGTCACCGATAGGGAGGTTCTTGATGGCGGTGGCCATTTCGGCGACAAGCTCGTCGTAGATGGCCTCGTGGATGTAGATGCGCTTGATGGCGATACAAACCTACAGGCGGTGGTGTTAGTAGATGCACGAGTTAGGCTCTTGATGGGACTTTTGTCAACCAACTCCTACGTACCTGTCCAGAGTTGTACAAAGCCAACATAGCAATCTATGACTTGTCAGCATTTAGTTCCCCGATTCTTGTCGCAGACATTGACATACCTTGGGCGCGACGGTCTTGACATCAACATCAGGAAGGACAATGGCAGCATCGTTGCCACCACTGCGATTTCGCGGGTCAGCACCCAGCTTCACATTGCTACATTCGGGGGAAAACAGGACGCAGAAATTCGTCCCAAATCGTCCACTTACAGCTCCAGAGTGACGCGCTTCAGGGTCTTGCTGCAGCTCTCCATCACACGCTTGCCGGTTGCCGTCGAGCCAGTGAAGCTGACCTTGTCGACGCCCGGGTGGGAGGTCAACCAAGGGCCGAGGTTGTCATCGCCGCTGAGGGCCTGAAACATGCCGGGCGGGAAGATTTGCTGTGCCAGCTCGACGAGCTTGAGGTCGCAGTAGGGTGTGAAAGGACTATTGTGACTCGGTGTTAGTTCCTGGCATGTGTGCAAGAAGCGGCGACGGAGAAGGAAATGGAGCTTACGATGGCTTCAGGATGAAGGCATTGCCGGTGACAAGGGCAGGGGCAATCTTGCCGCAAGCTGTTAAGTCGTGTTAGTTCGGAACGTTCGCCGGGCGCAATTAGACTAATGGAGGCATACCAAGGAGGATAGGGACTGTAGATGATGAGTTAGCGGATTGATCGACTGAGGCCCATGGAAATGGTACGACTTACAGTTCCAGGGAACGATGCCGACAGCGACGCCCAAGGGGACGTATCTCGTGAGGACCCGGCGGTCGGGGTTGTTGTCGACGATCTCTTCGGGGAAAGGCAAGTTCATCATTCCCTTGAAGTGCTTGACGGCCTCGCCGATCTCAAACTGTGCGAAAGGAAGCTGAGTGACGCATGCGATGTTAACGCGACTCATTCCATCGTCATCACATTTCCACGCCAATGACTTACAGGCTTGCCCTGCTCCTTGGTGAGCATCAGCGCAAACTCCTCGGCGTGCGCCTCGAGAGCTTCACCGAGCTTGAGGAGAGCCTTTTGGCGCTCCTCGTATGGTGTCTCGGCCCAGGCATCTTGAGCCTTCTTCGCGGCCTGCACGGCTCTGTCGACATCTTCGGGTGTTGAGAGAGGGACCTCGGGGTTGGCCTCAAGAGTAGAGGGGTTTGGGCTGTTCCTTGTCTTGCTCGTCGACTCGAGCTTTCCGTCAATGATGTTGTAGAACTTGGTCCAGTCCAGCTTGGACGTGCCGTTGGTAGCCATGATGGGCGAATTACTAGGTAGAGTATGAAGAAAGACTGGATGAGATTGGGGCCCTGGTCTGGTTGCGGGAAGTTATGTTGCGGTCTGGTCCGTAGGATGTGATGGGAGAGCAAAGTATCAGGGTCGGATTTTGGAAACTTGACTGGTACAGATGATCAGGTGAAAAGGAAACGCAGGCGAGAAGAAGTAGAAGGAGGGGGGCCACTGGATATGGAACATGCAAAAGCGACTACTTTTTGCCTTCTCGACCTTTCTTTCTTCCCCCTTCTCCTGATTATGTTCCTTTCTGGGGGCAAGGAGGGGTCGGTCAGGTTGCTCACAATCGCATTATGAGAAACAACGAACTAGTGGAGGGGCACGAGGGGGACGTGGAGAGAGAACCGGGGCATGTTACCGGGATGCCATGTCCTAGACCGAGGGTCGTTGTCTAGTGCTCCATTTTCGATGTCACGATGGCCGTTGTCGATTGACATCGACTACTCGCAGACATGGAGCGTGGCACCGTAGGCCCCGCGGGCAGGCGGGGGGTGTATGGAGATAGTCCAGAGCTATTTCAAATTTGGGGTAGCTCACCCGGCCAAGGCTCCAACTATGGGTAACTTTGCCTGGCTCTGCGTGGCTCTTACAGTCTTACTCCTCAGTTTTCCCTGCCTCTGTATTGGTATTGGAGTAAGAGTTGGACATTGGAGTGGACGGGAACTCGTTCTGTTCCATTGTGTGTCTCGGTCAGGTTCTGAACTGCCACCCAAACCCGCAACCCGCCGCCCCGCGCCGCACCATTAGAATCGACAACTCAGCCAAGCCAAGCCGCGACGGGGCAAGTGTTGAAACGCGGATGAGTTGATCGGCTTAAAGTGAACAGGTACGTACCGTTATGTAGTGTTATGTAAGCCATCGTTAGTCTACTACCTAATACCTCATGAAAAGTATGAAGGTATGGATAGTGTTGACGCATTGCCGTCTTCCGTAGTATGTTTACCGTTGCTGCACGTCAATGCTGACACAGACTCTCTTGCTTCTCTTGCTGCAGGCTGCCCGCAGTACGAAGTGACGAAAGTGACGAAAGGGGGGAAGAAAGTTGGAGACACAGACAACAGACGAATTTGAAGTCGGCAACGTGCCGCTTTCCACCCCTCCTTTTGCGTTTGGCACTTCTATTATCCCGCGCCGCACCCATTTCCCCGTAGCAGAAGTCTGACCTATGCTTGAACCAATCGTGTTTCCCACCTTAGCCGGGGAGAAAAGAGGGTCTGACTCGACCACCAGCTGCGCCGTGCTGCTACCGTTGTCCACCTTAGCTCGCCTCGCGCTGTGTTTGAGGATTCGCCCTCCCTCCTGCAAGGTTGGTCATGCAGACAGACTCAAGGTCGAGTCAAGCTTTCCGCAGCTGATGGTTGGCTGGAATTGTTCCCCAGGTCTTGGTCTTCCCTCAAGACATTGACCCGCCGGCTCGGCGCCGGCATGAGATGCAGGGGGGCACCTGAGCCAGACTCTACTACCTCGTGCCACGGCTTCGGCAATTGTTGCGGGCTGTAGCATGCAAAAAAAAGAAACAGAGCTTGTTCCCGATAGTCTGGCTCCCCTTTTCGAAGCTAAGGCAGGCCGGTCGGCCAGCTACCTAGTTACGAAGGGGTGCTCGGGAGGGGGTTGGGAAAGGGTCTGTTCGGTCCAATTGATCCAGAATGCTCGGGTTCGTTTCTGGTAGCCGTGAGGCCGCGTGCGCGCGCGCGCCCGGCCACATTGAAGGATATAACGACATGCATTCCCTCTCAAATCCCATCTGATTTTTAGGGCTTTGAGAAACATCAACCATATTTGCAGAGAACTTTTATGGCGACCATCATGGGCGGCGAAAGCAACCACAACCGTGCGGTTGTATACACGGAGCCCGGCACCACACAGACGGAGGTCGTGGAACTACCGATCCCGGAGCCTGGCCCCGGAGAGGTTTTGGTTCGGCTGTGAGTCGATTCATAACTTCAGTATCACAAAGTTCCATTACTGATCATGCTACTACTGCAGACAATACTCTGGCGTTTGTCATACCGATTACGGCTTTTGCATGAATGCGTTCTCATCGGTTCCATTTCCAACACCAAAAGGTACGTCTCATCCGATTCGAATCGATCGACTCATTGAGCAAGGGTCTAATCATGAGATATCACAGGTCAAGTTGGTGGCCATGAGGGTATGTCAAAGGTCCATGTCGATTACTAAGTCTCACATGACGAGGGTCGAACACTCTTCTTGTTGACTCGTCACTAATGTGCTTTTAGGAGTTGGCGAAGTTGTTGCTGTAGGCACAGGTGTAACATCACCAGCAATCGGTGACAGGGTGGGAATCAAATATGCGGCAGATGCATGTCTAAACTGCGGTACGGTCACGGTCATCTCACAAAACCTTCCTTCACTAACATCGCATCTCAGATCGATGTCTTCAAGGCGGAGAATCATCATGTGCACAAGTTAAACTCTCCGGCTACTTCACCCCCGGCACATTTCAACAGTACTGCATATCGACGGCACGATACGTCACTCCCGTCCCCGCAGGCCTCGATTCAGCCGAAGCCGCCCCTCTAATGTGCGGCGGCATCAGCGTCTACACAGCCCTCAAGCGCGCTGACGCCCGCCACGGCGACTGGGTAGTCATCGTTGGAGCCGGCGGGGGCCTCGGTCATCTAGCGATCCAGTACGCCCGCGTGATCGGGTGCCGTGTCGTGGCCATGGACGTCGGTTCCAAGGAGAAATTCTGCCGTGACCTCGGGGCGACGGAATTCGTCGATTTCACGGCCTACCCCACCGACGAGGACCTGACGGCGGCGATTAAGAAGATTACAGGTGGAGGAGCGAGGGTTGTGCTCATGTGCTCGTCTAACAAGAAGGCGTATGTGCAATCTCCAAAGTGGCTCGGCTTCAGGGGCAAGCTTGTCTGCTTGGGTGTTCCGGAGAATAGCAGCCCGGCCATTGCGGACGTCGAACCCATGCTCGTTGACGAGTTGACTATTTTTGGTATGTTCTACTTGGTCATGGCATCTTTTCACTCCAGGATTGGTGTCCACTTGACACAGATGCTTACCTGTATACGCAGGCGTCAAGACTGGTAATAGACTCGAAGCCAAGGAATGTCTGGAGATCGCGGCACAAGGCAACATCAAAACTCACTTCCAACTTCGGCGAATGAGAAGCTTAACAAAGGTAACTCGATCTCATTCTCAAGTACTTCCTTGATCACGTCCGGCTGACAGGGCGATCTACAGATTTTCAACGAGATGGAGTCTGGAGGGATTCAAGGACGCGTTGTGATTGATTTGAAGTAGACGCATATACAATGACATGATTCCAGTAAATACACAATTTTTTATGACCATGAAACGCTCTTCGAGTACTTTTGATCTCAATTGGCCTCTTTCTTGAAACCCGAAAGAAAAGAAGGCACTCCCTGTGATTTAATCATAGTTCGTCTCAGATCTGCAAATAGATTCCGAATATTTCGAAGCTCGCGATATCGTACGCAGTCCTCAAGAATGTGATTAGTACCAAAAGGCTGTCAAAGACGTTCTAGCCGAGCCCGAGAACTGGTGTCACGAGAATGCCACGAGAGAGTACCACAAGTGCCGACTCGGCTCGCCAGAAGCCGGGGTAAACTCCAGTTTACCTGCCGAGATTGCCGGACAGCTAGACGAGCTAGACGATAAAGTTCAATTAAGCTGTTGGGCTGTGCTGGCAAGCTCGGCTCATGGCGTCGGCAACCCGCGTCGAAGGTCACGCGGCCCCGGACCATCTTTTGCGCCACCCCGTTTTGATCCCGTCGGGCTAATTAACCCCATTGCGGGGAAACGGGGGAAACAAGAGGCCCATCGAGATCTTTCCCCGGACTCCAAGCCTCAGACGCCCGAGATCTAGAACGGGGCACGAGGGGAAACGTCTGGTGCGTCGCGGGGAAACGGGGAGACTTCTTTTTTCTGACAGCTCTTCCCCAGACTCCACCGACACGCAGGCGCGGCCCCGCGCTGGGGAAGATCAGAACCCCATGGGCCCTTGATTCTACCCCGGATCTGTCGAGTCAGAAACCGTTAAACATTCTGAGTCGTCTTCTCGCATGATGGCTGGCGGGTAGGCACATTCTGCAACGGGCCAGTGGGACCACAAAGGGGCTTTGTTCCAGATCCCTAAGCCTCGTCATAGTGCTTCGGATTCTGGGGCGTGGGTTAGGGGTAATCAGGCCAGATGAGTTATCAGGCAGACGTGAATGGTCGAGTACTGATCGTGCTATGCAGCGACCATCCCGAAATGGGGTGGCAGTTTTTCTGACTCGAAGCTCTGTAAAGCTGTTGGTTTCCCAATTGGGTTATTAGTGATTGGTCTTTTCTGACACGTCGTATTGTTGCTTCCTGACGCCAAGTACGGTGGGTTTGTTGGAAAGCAGTGATTCGGTTCTGACGCAGCGATTTCTTCATGCGCTTCGCTCGATTTGTCGAAGAGTTGCATTCGAATCGGCCCTGATAGTATTTACCAAGCCTGTGAAAGCAGTTCCATCCTTATCTGCTTTCTCAAAAAAGGAACACTTCTCCTCTTCTTCATTTCCTGTGTGAACAAGCCGCAAGCGGAGCCAGAAATTGGCATGACAAACACCGAAAGATGGCAATGACAGACCTCCAGATCCTTCAGGCCCATGGCCTATTCTTCGTGCTGGGCACTCAGCTCCACGTTTTTGTTTTCCGTAAAGGGGAATGGGACAAGTCCACCACCAGACTCTTTAGGAACTTCACCTTGAGTATTGGACTGCTCACTGCGGCTCTTGCCCGCGGGGCTCCTGAGACCTTTCAGACTCATGCGGCTGCGCTCAAGACTGCTGGATCTCTCACAGCCACTCTCATCGCTGGAATTTACACCAGTCTACTTGTGTACCGCGCGGCGTTCCACCGGCTTAATGGCTTCAAGGGGCCGTTCCTGGCGAGGCTCTCGAACCTGTGGATCACCTCACGAGCAGTCAAGGAGTTGCACATGTACACCGAGGTTCAGCAACTCCATGAACAGTACGGCGACATTGTGAGAATTGGTAAGGAACTCTATTCAATCTTATCATCAAAAGAAAGAATGCTAATGTCAATGGGATAAGGTCCGACGGAGTTGTCCATCAACAACCCAAAGGCCGTACTTCCAATTCACTCAAATCGATCACCGTGTACCAAGGGCCCTTGGTATGGAGTCCTGCATCCCATGTACTCGTTGCAGCTCGTCCGAGACAAGCAAGAGCACGCCCAAAGGCGCAAGAGTTGGGATCGAGGGTTCAGCTCGAAAGGTAATTCGAGAACTCGCCCAGAGACGTTTTGGGGTTTCGCAACTGACAAGAGGACTAGCGCTTAGAGACTACGAGTTCCGGGTTGCCGACTACACCAATCAGCTGCTTGCAAATATCGACAAGAACAAGGGAAGGCCTTTCAATATTTCAGATTGGTTCAATTTCTATAGCTTCGATGTCATGGGAGACTTGGCTTTTGGCAAATCTTTTGGCATGCTCAAGGAAGGCATTAAGCACTACTTCATGACTTCCTTGCATCAAGACATGCAAGCTATTGGGATGTTCAGCCACATGCTATGGCTCTTCCCCATCTTCAAAAACACGCCAATCTTGAATGAGAACAACAAGCGATTCTGGAAATTTGTCACGGCTCAGGTGGACGAGAGAATCAAGGTATGATGTGCCGTCGACCCGGGTCGAGGGATATGCATGCTAATTGTCATTAAATCCAAGAACCCCCCTGACCGCCCGGACGTCTTCTCGTGGATTTTGGAAGAGTACCAATCTCTCAAAAACCCGACTTGGCAAGACACCCTTAACCTATACGGCGATGCCTACCTTATCATCGTTGCAGGAAGGTAAGTAATGTCTCACATCCCACTTTGATATCCATGGTGCTGGGTCCAACTCATCTGACATTACCTTTCCGAATGCGTGAAGTGACACGACAGCCGCGTCCCTTACCTGTCTCTTCTTCGAGCTAGCCCAGAAGCCGGATGTCTACCAGCGTGTAAGGGAGGAGATCGACGACTACTTTGCGCAGAATGCGGAGCCGGAACACTCCGCACTGTCAAAGCTCCCGTACCTGCAGGCGTGCATCGATGAGACGTTGAGGCTTCACCCTCCCGTTCCGTCGGGTGTGCAGCGCATGACCCCGCCCGAGGGCATAGATATCGACGGGACGTTTATTCCGGGTGACATAATCATCCAGGTGCCTACGCACACCATGTTCAGAGGCAAGTCTCAAAAAATTGGTTTCTTCTTCCATCATTGTCTCGGCTGATGGGAGTGCGTCTGTCGTACAAGACGTTGCTTGCTGACTGTGGCGAAAACGAATAGACGAGCGCCTGTTTCCGCAGCCAAACGATTTCATTCCCGAGCGGTGGACCACCCGGCCCGATCTGGCCAGAGATCCTGCCGCATTTGTTCCCTTTGGTACCGGTAAGCACCCAGAATATTACCTCCTTTCGCCTTTTTGGGCCGATCGGTGCGACGTGAGAGCTGACGACAAGGATGAATCATGGCAGGCAAGTACTCGTGCGTCGGAAAGCAGCTGGGCTTGATGGAGATCCGTTACTGCGCCAGCCAAATTATTAACCGATATGATGTTGCATTCGCCCCAGGGCAGAAGGCAGAAGCGTTTATCAATGGCAAAAAGGATGGTTTTACCCTGTCGTTACCGGAGTTGGAAGTGATTTTCAAATCGAAGGAGGGAAAAGTGACAGGTTAGCAAATGAGTGAGAGAGAGAGATGACGATTGGAGGTAACACAAGACTGCTAAGGCTGGAATGTCTTATAAGCTATATTTAATATGTGGGCGAGGTATCCGAGGTATCCAGTGACATATCGCAATTTGACAATGAGCGTTGCAAAGCCAACATAAACCCACTTTACGCATAGACAAATCTGGCAGTTCGGAATCGATTTTCGATAGGGCGCAAGGCTTGGTGTGGCTACACAAGCTGAAGGGTCTGCAGGGGACGGTAAGGCTTTAGTAGATTTTTAGGGAAAAGTAGACTAGAAGTTCCGTCCGGACACGGCATCCGCGGAATGTCGAAGTAGTACTAATTAGCCCCCGTTGGAGCTCGGCTTGCTTGGGAAATCCTCCTCTTAGTACTAGCACAGTTGTCGACTCTTGCGACTGAGACACTCTAAGACCAATGCCACGGGGTGGAGGGCCACCGGCTTGCATTTCCCACCATTTCCCAGCCGCTGATTTGTCGCTCTTCCGGGCTAATTGCGTGCGGAGCTATGGCGTCCGAACTCTATCAGAGCCACGCGAAGCCACCGATGGCAGAGTTTAAGCCCAATGAAGGCAAGGAGAGAGAGAGAGAAAGAGAGAGAGAGAGAAAGAGAGAGAGAGAGAAAGAGAGAGAGAGACAGAGAGCTACAGGACAAGCAAGTGCCATGTCCACTGCACAGCACGGCAAGGGTGGCCGCATTTTACCCCACATTCTTTGATCTTCTCAACTTCTCATCCACCCCTCTTCCCTCCTTGCTACACCACCACACATCCATACCTACTCTCTGACTGTTGTATCTGTATTCGAATGTCTGTCTATGGTGTGGCCGGGATGCCAGTCCAAGCCCTGTCACTGCTGCCTCTGACTGTCTGTCTGTCTCGATAACTACACGATTGGTTAATTAACCCTCAAGGAGTAAGCTTCCTTTTGTCTTTTCAACTCCCGGTCCCCTTTTCTCCCCATTAGTATTGATGCCCACCCGATCCACTTCTGCACATCTACCGTCAACTTTCTTCGACACTATCCGTACCCGTGCTCGGGCTAATAATCGATATCTCATCTTTCCGCTGACAAAACCAAGCTTTCCCATCATCCGCTTGCGAAAGATAGGGCCCAAACCACCGGACCACGCGCGGAGAAAGCACAAACACTTGGCTCCTCAAGCGCGGACGCGCTTTTATCTCGTTGACTCTTCCTCTCATTTCTGCCCACAATCTTCTTTCATAAAGGAAAAAGAGAGAGCTATGGCGTCCAATGGACCAGACGATGATGCCCCCACACCAGCAGCAGCAACAGGAGGAGGAGCTCCGCCAGCCAAGGTCCTCTCCGAAAAGGAGCTCGCCCGCAAAATCCGGAAGCGCGAGCTTGACCGCCGGGCCCAGAGGCAGGCTCGCGAGCGCACACGCAAGCGCATCGCCGAGCTCGAAGCCCAAGTCAAGGAGCTCCGAAAGGATGACTCGACGAGGCTGTCGGCCGCCATGGAGCAGCTGGCCTCGGTCACGCGCGAACGGGACGGCCTGTTCGACACCTTCAAGTCCATCGAGCAGACGATCCGCGACCATGTGCTGCCGAGCCGCCCAACCCCAGCAGCGACGCAGCAACGCTCTCCTCCTCCCACCGTGACAGCGTCAACATCCCTGCCACCAGCAGGTTCTCGGGATGCGACTATGCTTACGGAGCTCTCGGCGCCAACGTACACCGCACCCATGGCCCTGCTGCCCGAAACCCCCGCCGCCCTCGACGTCCACGGTTTCCACGGTAGTGTCAATGGCGCCGTCGTCGGCAGGGTGCCGAACGGATTCCCGGCCTCCAGCGTACATGCACCCAGCTCCACGTCTGACAGCCAGGACTTTGTCGACGACGAGGACGACGACGGGGACGATGTCCCAGACGATCCCAATCTCATTGTGCCACCGCCCGAGGCGCACTGCGACTGCGTCACTGTCCGGACCCCGGCTGGCCCAGCGCCGCCGAGGGTGAACATATGGCGGGCGGTCAACCAGGTCTTGGCGAAGCGGTGTCGCATATCAAAGGAAGCTCACGCGGTCGAGGATGCCAACGACGAGGACATACCCGTGCGGGCACTACTCGAAGGCTGGGATGCTGTCGCCAGGTCGCGACCGCTATCCAAGCTGTGGAGGAAGCTTCGGAGGGTCGACGAGTTGTGCTTTATGACTTGCCCACCCACCGAACGGCTGGCGATCCTTCGGACTATGCACCTGCTGCTGGAGTATCACTCCGATCCCACCCCGGAACGATATGCTAAGCTACCCACCTGGTACCTCAAGAGGTTTGTCATACTGACTAGGTGTACTAGTGGTGGATGTTTGCTGACTTGGTTGCAGACCGTCACAGGCGATGCCTCACTCTTATGCCATCGACTTCTTCGTCTGGTACTTCACCACATCTTTCTAGCCACTACTGTCGACAATGCAGTCGCTAACAAGCTTCTAGGCCTGGTGTTCGAGAACGGTTCGTTTTCGGACAACATCACTACTGCAACAACCAATTCTGGGAGCTCTTTGGCCCCAACTTCCACCTCCTCTGGCCCTTTGAATTCCGTGATGCGTACAAGAAGAGTGTCGTCACGGGCCAGTATCAAATTTCGCCCATGTTCGAGCAGAGGATATCCGACATTAACGCCTGGACAATGGGCATGGACTTCTTTACCCGCTTCCCCGAGCTCATCGCCGATATCCCAGCATTCCACTCAGTCGCCCAGGCCCTGACGCCCGCCGTCACGTCACCGCCCCCGATCCACCACCAAGCGCTGCCTCAACAGGCTTCCCTATCGCAGCTGAAGGAGCGCGACGCGCGTCTGCTTCTCGAGCAGCAGGCTTCGGAGGAGCAGCAGCAGCAGGCCAACCAGGACGCCATGGATTGCTCTCAGGCTATGCAGGTTTACCCGGCGAGCCTCTACAGCATGGCACCTCCTGGATTCATGGACGAATTCATCCCGCAGGGCTATGATGCGCACGGCCTGGCTGGAACGTACGGCTCGATGCCTGGGTACTTTTGATCTGGCAATCAACAGTTGAAGGACTACAAGACAACGACATTCGTCGACACTGCCCCCATATCGACAAGTCCACGCGTGACGGTCTAGGCGACCATGAACGCATTACCCAATGCGGAAAGGCATGCGGCTGAAGTATGCACGGCATCGACTGAGCTAGCTGCACGTCATGGTCACTGCTTAGCTGTCAACGTGCCATGACATGCGTTTCAGGAACGCGACCCGCCGCTGTGTCACCCGCGATGTCGGCGATCCTGTCCTGTCGGCAAGCAAAGTTTCTGGCTGCAGTAAGGGTCCAAGACCACGACTAATCAGCGCCAAAATCAAACCGAGACCGATGCCCTGCGCCACGATCCCAAGCGACGCGCCGAGCCGGCCGTTCGTGGGGGATGGCGCAAACAAACGGCAATTAGACGCGAGGGATGAGAATGCGGGTACCGTTGACACAGCCCCTTGATGAGTTGGTCGATGTACATCACGTCCCGCCGGGATCACAGATTGCATACGCTTCTACGACAGGAGATGCTAAGGCTTGCGACACTGATGGAGCAACATTTACGATTCATGACTTTGAGATTGGGTGCTGGTTAGCACTCATCAGGAACAGAATGGCAGCCTCTCGACGTTTACCATACATTCGTCAGAGTAATATGCCGCGTGTATCAAAATGTACCATATTAAAATTGAAGGATACTAACTACAAAACTATCAAAAGTAAAAGTGACTACGGTGACACCTAGAGATATTTTGATCCAACTCCATCCAGTCTTTATCGCTGGTTCCGAAAGAAAGTCACGACTGCGATTACACATAATGCATCATCAAAAAATAGTAAAATTTGCTCACGCTGCCTCTGACCTATCTCAGGAAAAGAACGTTTTCGGCCGCTCCAGAACTTCTCCATCCAAAATGATGTCAACCTTTTCATTGTAAAAGCACAGTAGACCAGCAATCCCCGCGCTCTCCTGTGTCGGAAGCCTGTAGTACCATACCAAATCGCTGTACTCTTTACCATCTACAACAACATTGTAGTACTCAGCATCGCCCTTGTAAGGGCACTTGGTGACGAGCTTGCTTTTTCGCAAAGCTGACTGATCAACTGATGCTAAGGGGAGGTAGTATCGCGTAGGCAACCCAGTTTCCAGCAAATGAACGGCGAATCCGGTCTTGGCGACGGTCTTTCCGGCGACGTTGATCTCTACTGGTCGCGTCGAAGGGAGAATATCGATGCGCTTGTAGGGATCCTTGGGGTGGACGTAGATGGGCGTTTCCTCCTCGAGCCACTGGTCTGAAATTGTCGTGGTGGTTTTGTCAGTTCCGAAGGTACATGGCGGAAATTACGGAACTTCCGATGTGGCCGAGACACTTACCCATACTACCGAACTCGAGCCTTACCAGACCCTTTAGGGCACCGCTGATCTCTCCATTGTCGGAAAATCTCAAAGCCCGGTCGGTGGTAAAGTCGTTTCCACCGTTCCGGCCAGGAACGGTGACTTCAACGACTGCCGCAGCGGCTTGGGTTGCGTCGCCGGTAGACTGAATGTCTTGCTTGTCTTTCCAACGGCAGTTCCGCAGTGCTGTTATGGGTACATAGTACTGCGGATATGCAACGTGTTCCCAAACATGGACTGCTTTGGTGGTATCAACGACGCATGTGCTGTTTAGGATGACTCGGACTCGACGGGCGGTGGGTTGAGTTCTGTGAGGGCCATTCGTGAGGAGATGTCTCGCGAGCTCAGGGAGACTAAGGAGGTTGGCGTTATTTTAGCTTGTAAGGATTATACAGATGACTCGTCTGCCCTTGGTCTACGGTTTCGAGACCCTGCCATGATCTTTGACGGGCGGCCAAACTGATAGAATGAGATGCGTTGCCGCCGACATCAAGAGTGACTTACTCGGCTCGGAACTGACCAGGTTTGGACATTTTACCCACTTTCGGTACTCTCTCCCGGTGCGCTTGATTGAGTTGAGCTGAGTTACGAAAAAGCAATTCGACATGTCCAATTGCTTTTGGCAAGATGAGCTATGAGAATGCCATCTCGTCTTCCCTGGTGTTCATGAACCCCGCGCTTCTCCCCATTGTGACGTCTGCCACTTTACGTCAGCATTTCTTGGTCCGCTTGGTCCGGACAAAGCGCCGGCTCGCTCCGTAACCCAAGGCCCCACATATCCGGTAGTTGGTCTTTTGCAACGCTCAGTCCCGGCGCTGAGGAGCTATATTCAAGTTACTTTGCTTTTCTCGATATTCGTATTCTTTTTCACTTTTTTTTTGATCTGAAATACTGCGAATTCCGAGTCCTTGCGTGATGCCATTCATCTAGGTAGGCCCGACTGCTGCAAGTTGAGGTCTCGGCCGTTTGAATTATCGCTGAATACCATTCTCCCAGCACAACCTCCACGAAACATCTCTCCAGCTTGGCACGGGCTGTTAGTGCCATGCTAAGGAGGGGCCCCAGTCCCCGCGGTTTGCCGCTGCGCGCTGGGGTGGATTAGCTATACGCTAATCAAACCCTTAACAACGCACATTTTCCCCTCGAATCGAGCCGACGATTATTCAACCTAACGAGCCGCCGTCGACTCGAATTCGCCTTCCGCAGGCTAGACGAAGTCTTCCTGGTAGGGCAGGGAGCAGAGGTTCCATCTAGCCTCCCGAAGGAGACGGGCGACTTTCTTTCCCGGCGCAAGTGGCGCTTCCGGGCCCAAATTGAACATCACCGACCGACTTTTCGACTTCGCTCTCTCAGCACCTTTGCCCCTTAAACGATCGAAGACTCCCTCGAAGAGACGAAACGACCATTGGGTAGCGATGTATAGCCGCGGCTATATAAGCTATGCTCGTTACAGAACCTAACAGCAAGCCCTACAACCTAGCCTTACGAGGTTTTGCCCCTTGTGGTTTCCCTTGTGGCGGTATTACCTATTACGGTATACTCCGGACGGTTACTGGAACGTTGTGTAAACCAGAAGCCTGCGGGCTCTGGGTCGAAGGATAGGAGATACTGGCGGAATTGCGTTCTAGGGACGACCATAGCACTGTCTCGGGCAAGCCAGCGGCACCCAGAGACAGGTTAAACACATAGTTGCCTTTGGGCACGATTTGGAGGACGAGCTGGACTGTATCTAGTGATAGCTATAGGCCTACGGCCCTCCACGCCATATACCCTTCGGGAGGTCTGCCGCAAGGGCGGCTGCGCCCTTGCCGCTACGGCGTTAAAATACAACAACAACAACAAAAGAGGTTCTCAGGGAAGATAGCTGAAAGCGATCATAGGATCTGATACGAAGTTAATTGCTGAAGAGCTATGGAAAGTCTGTCCTAGAGTCCGGCTCGAGTCCATCCTATATACAAGTCCTGGTCCTGAATAACGTAGTTCACAAGCGAGTGAGCCACACAAGCGAGTGAGCCACTTTTTAGCACCCGTACGACAATATATAAGAGAAATCAACCACAACACCTTAAATCAATTTAAACTATTTATAATCCTCTTCTTTAGAGGTAGATTCAACTTTCTGACACGTGCGAGCATTATGGCCAGTCTCTCCACAGATGCCACATCGTCGCGCGCGCGTTTCTATCCTTCTCGCACGACCACTACTCTGACCTATTTCTACCTAAAACTACCTCGTTATATCAATTTAAGACTTTATATCCTTTGCCGAATTAATTATAAATATTCTACCTTTCTAAAGCTGTTTTTTTTTCGTATAGCGACGGCGGCTCATACGCTCATTTACCTCTTAATACTTAGTCATTTATGCCTATATTATAACCTGGTTGTGTGCGACTACCATAATTCCCTTCTTTAGCTGCTATATATACCCAATAATTAACGTCGGGGAGCTATTCTGGTGTCGTATGATACGATTTGTAATAAAATTAGACTGTGAGGTGAATTCAATTGGGTTATTTGGTGTCTTTGGGACCCAAGCTGGTAGTAAGCCAGCAGAAGAACCTGGAGGTGTTGGGGTATGAAGCTTCACATCTAGCTGTGAAATTACATATTCTTGATTATACGGGACAAGGCCAGTTGCTCTAAAGCCTGCTTGAATGTTTGACGTCGTTATTGCCTTGTCGTACGCCTTGTAAAAGGCTGGGAGGAAGTCTTCCTTTGCAATATACGTAATATGTACCCGCATAAGGACCTCAATTTCTTGGCCGTACGCCCGTTTCAAGGGACTAAAGCACCCAACATCAAGAGGCTGGAGCTTATGCGATAAATGAGGAGGCATACAGAGCATAATAATCTTCTGCTCCTTGCAGTATAGCGCAAAATCGACAGAATGGTGGCTTTCGTAGCCATCAAGGACAAGGAGGCGGTAAGCACCCTTCGTACGCCTCTTTATATAGAAATCAAAGTGCTTTACCCATTCTAGGCCTTTCTCATTTATCGTCCAACCGTTTTCTATAAGTGCAATTACCCAGTCGGGTAGGAGGGGGCTATCGCACGTCCAGGAGTCAAGATAGACCTTACTTATAAAGATTATATACGGCGGGATAGAATAACCGCACGACCTAATACCCTAGATTACTATAACCCATTCCTGATTCCCTTATTATACTCCTCTTGGCTTGCCACGTCGTTCAAAGGCTATAACAACTATTTCGGAGGATATCTTACCCATTACAAACCCAGTCTTATTAAAGTTATAGATATCGGCATCGTATATCCCGTACTTTGCGATTGTATTTTATATAAGAGAAAACCAAGTATAATACGCATCTAGATCTTCGTAAAGAACTCTCTGATAGTCAATTCTTTAATTAAAACGCATCTAGAGCTCATGTCGTCGTTATATAAAGTTTAAGGCCTAGTTTGTTCCGACGCGTCGCGCGCCACGGTCGCGAAGTAGTCGATCGGCTATTTCTCAAACAGCGCTTAGGCGAGGCAAAAACGCTCGTAAATCCAGGTCAATAATGTATCGTATAATGGTCTCCTCTTCGTATAAGGTTAAATTTTGGTTATAAGGTCGTGTATCGCATCTAGCAGGTTGGCCAGCTTGTTGTCGTTGAAGAGTAGCGCGAGATACATTGTAGGTTAATGCAGCTTTTCGTACGCTTAATTTTGGGTTAGATTGGAGCGCATTAAGCGCTAGAACCAAATCGCTTTCATTTGAATGTCGCACCATGGTTGTAGGTGGAGAAAGATAAAGGGAGAGGTAGGTTGTACGAAATCAAAAAAAAGTGGCTCACTCGCTTGTGAACTACGTTATGTCCTTTATTCAAGTCATGTTAGATTATATTAATTATAAATAGTTAATCCTTGTCTTATTATCACGTAACTTATATTATAGTTCTTCCGTTCTATAAAGAGTTACTAGTATTTCTATTTTACATATATATATATATATGCGGGGCAGGCCTGAACTTGGTCATGCATGTTAGGTCGTAATAAATAGCTTTTTTATTTTATAGTTTCTTATATTATTTATAGACTCCTTGGCCTCTTTTTCTACTACGTTCTATAAGCTGGTTAATTTTGGAACCTGTCACGGGCTGGAGCCCGGTTGAGATCTCCGGCCTTGCCGGAGCCGCATGCACACCCCTCTGCTGGGAAGCTGTCCGACCGCGACCTGTAATAACCGATTATTATATTGGATTATTACATTGGATTATTATATTCGGTTATGCTGTAGGCCGGAGCCGGTCGAGATGTCCGGCTTTGCCGGAGCCACCATTCTGTTGTAGTACACCGCTGAGTCCGGGCACATCATGCTATAGCTATATGCGGACCCCTGTAATTCCTCCTTTTCCTCCTCAGCTTAGAATAGTCAATCGACGGCACCTCTACGTTGAACAAGCCTAGGGGCCAGCCCCTTACAGAACCTAGGAGGTTTGTCGTATACTACCCTATAGTTCCTTATACCGCCGTACGGAGTCTTATAAGTTTAATCGATGATGTCTTAAGCCGTAATTCTATGTAAACTATATCCATGGTTTATCTCACCAGTGTAAAGTTTAATAATCGGTGGAGGGGTGGCTGTAAAATTCGATTAATGCTTTGACGCATGAAAAAAGTGTTTTGGCGGAGTGCCTCTTGCAGTCTGCCATAAAACACCTAGACCTCAACCGTTTCTGCAGGTATTAACTGGTGCAGATAAGCACCTAAAACATCAGACGTGCTCCCTCATCACGACCACTGTGCCAAGCTTTCTACCCTTTGGAAGGTAAGCCTCCAAGCTTGCATGGTGCTGCAGGTGGCGTCTTGCTCTCTTTCGACAACCATCGTGCCACTATCCAACGCTGGCGTTGACGCATTGGGACCCTCCGCTAGCTCCGGGGAGAGTTTCCAAAGGGTGAATAGGTTTCTGCCTCTCTGCGGAGAATGAAACGAACCAGAGATTGAACCCCCCATAGCTGCAAGCCTCATGGACACATTTTCAACAACTCCCATCTGAATCCCGAAGCCTCATCGCATGTTCATTTCTTTATCGTCCTCGCACCTAGACTAACCATCAGGTCACCATCTCCGTTGATAGCTCATTTCGAAAGCAATTGACCGTCATCTCCATGACCACAATTGCAATGCATTGACATTGGCCCATCTGCATACGCAATGGCGGACTGAGAGTCCTGAAGCAGCGAACACTTGTGTTTTAGACTTATATCCTCGTCAGCCATTGAATTACATGGTCTTCAAAGCATCTCAAGCACAGATCGCTGGACACAGGCCTTCTCGACGGGAAAACAGGTTTTTCAAAGAGCTATGGTCGAAGTTTCGTTGGCAAGTTGGCAAGCATCCACTTATGTGCTACATTCGTCTACCAAGCTGTAAATATACTAATCAAGGATGATAACTGATTTCTTGGGCCTCTCTCATTCTCGAGCTTCACAAGCGGAGCTCTGACGATAGCAAGTTGACAAAGCATGGATATTGGTGTGGCTAGCGTTGATGAAACATAAGACCATGTGTCGCAAAGACGACACCGGTAGTTGCGGGCAGCAATTAACGCCATAAATACCTTAAGACACCATGGGAACTTTTGAAAGCCTTGTTTCAGCGCACAAGGACACATTGCTGGCGGACAAGCAGCTCTCGATATGTTTTGGTGTTGATAAACACCTAAGAAGATGGCCAAATTTTCTTCAAATGATGATGACACAATATTTCGCATTCTTCTCGAGTGACTGGTGGTAACTTGAAGGCATCTAGATCCGTACTCCCTTGAGAAGTTAAGTTAAGCCCTAGGGTTCCAACCAGTGAACCATCAAGGAACATGAGGGCAACGTTCCAATATTCTCAAAGTCATTCTTCACAAGCAACCACCTAAGCGTCCGACTTACGTGGAGGTATTGTTTCAGTATAGTTTTTTCTTTTGTATCAATTTCGACGAGTCATTATAAATATGAGTCACATTATGACAAAGAATTTCAGTCTGACCTAGCTCTAGATGAATAGCTTACAGCCTCGCTGTGCTTCTTCCACGCATTCTGCAGTTCTTATCTTTGAGATCGAATCCTATTCAATCTCTTGGCCATAATGTCGAAGGTGAATGTTGCGCTACGACGCAACTCTTCCTGCCTGCTCATCGTTTTCTCGCCTGGGCCAACGAGTAAACTCGTGGAGGGTGCTGAGCCGAACATGCCCTGATCAGTCCAAAGTGAAAGGGTGCAGCATCTCAAGCTGAAGCCACTCGTCCTGAGAGGGGATTTCACATTGCAATAGACATGATTGTTTGACAGGTGCGTGAAGCTGCCAGGCCTATCCTATCAAATGCTAGATGGACCTAATGCATTTTTTTGAGGGTTGACGAACTATAAGTTGACCCAACCCTATTTCCCTTAAATCCCTTAAATATGCCTATGACTAATTTCGAAATAGAATAGAATTCGAGAAAGACCGGAGACGGATATACTGACGCCATGATGGACTAGGTGTCTAGGTCTATTAATCCAAGTAAACACCACGAGGACATATGGGTTGGGTTTGGAGGTTTTGTCTACTGATAGTTCGTGAGGCCCAATTAGCAATTGGCAACCTTCGATGTAGACATTATGTTACTGCTTCAGGCTTATTGAAAAAAGGGCATTGTGCGTTCGATGGATTTCTATTCTCTCATCAACAATGTGTATCTACTCCCTATTCTGGGGCTCTTCTTGGAGCAAAGCCTAGTTAAACCTCGCAGCGAATTCTCGACATTTGATCTTGACGCCTTAGACAGCCTGGCACGCTTCAACTGGGATGCCCAAAATCCTGGTCAATCCGAAAAGCCTACCCATGTTCTCTTTGGCTCCAATTCTCAGCTCCTTTTTCACGGCACTTCTCAGCGACCCCTTCCAACCAAATACAGCCTCAGCCGTTGGTGCCCAGCCGCGGGAGAAGTCGATTTGGGCAGGCTGCATCGTCATCCACGGCGTCTTCTCGCCAACCAATTGGGGCGGGTACACAGCTGAGAGCTGCCAAATCTGTGCCGCCGAGGCCTGAATCGGGGAGCGGGCAACCACCCAGTAGAATCTGCTCAGTGTATCGATGCCGCCGATCAGGGCCTCATCAAACGCATCAGGGTCCCCGCTCGAGGCGCGAAGAAATTGAAGATACACTCTCGTCAGGCGCAGCGCATCGTTAGCGCGGCAGTCGCGAAGCTGAGGCGTGTCCGAGATCCACAGCGGCGTATAGTGATATGGGTGATCGGGCTCGCGGGCGTTGCCGAGGTCGCCGAATTTCCACTTTCTAGGATCATGCTCGGATGCCACGAAGATGTTGTCTAGCTTGACGTCGTCATGGCAGAGGTCGTGTGCCATGTGCAAGCTGTCGAGTGCCGAGAGGAGAGATTCGAATGATGGTCTGAACATTTGATCGAGCTCACGATACGAGTGCCGGTTGTTAGACGTACGCAGCTTCTTTGCTAGGTGTTTTAGGGTGCCTGAATTGAGGAATGGCGAGACGAGATGCCATCGCGGGGACCCCAACGGTTCCGTAGTGGCCAAGAAATAGTCCTTGACTGGGACGAAGTATTCTCTGTATTGCTCATCATCGAACAATGTCGAGCCGTCATCATGTCCACCCATGATCAGACTGGCAGGGATCTCGGTAGGCCATCTTCTCGGGGGCGCGTCTGAACCCTGAATGCAATTGCGAAAGGGACTTGTCTCCTCGTTGTAGACTTTGATGACAGTGTTGTTGAATGCGAACGTTTCCCCCTCTCTACCTCTTCCAAGCTTTTTCCAATGACGCCGGTTATCCAGTAGGATGCTGCGCTCAGCATTTGTGGTATGAGAGTCGACTTCCCAACCAGTGCTAGTAAGTACTGCCTCGTCATAATCTGAGAGGGAGTCGAACTGCGTCGGGAGATACTTGATTCTCATATACTCTCGATATCGGAAATGAAGGTCCAGTAAGTGGTATATGACGACGATGGAAGCAATTGCAAAGAGCCGAAGCGTCATCCGCGCTGTGAACGACTTCAACCCCCTCCGGCGAGCCCCAACGGGGCTCCAACTGCGACCTTTCATCGACGAACGTCAATATGTAGTGATGATTGAGTGTAGGAATCTTTGTGGGAAATTCCAGGGACAGAAAACGAGCAGTAGCCCCTCCCGTCTAATAAAGACGGCCGCCAAGCGGCTAAGTGCCGTCAGAAGCAAGCAGCTCATCCATGGCGGTTGCAACCGAACTTACAAAAATACCAGGGAGGGGGAAGAAAGCGAATAAGCTACGCGACTACAACTATTCACCGTTGTCATACCGCCAAGGGGTTGCCACGTCGTCTAGCCATCCCCGTCATGGAACGCCACCCACCCCAGGCCCAGGTTTATGACAGTCCAGGTCTTGCTCACCTCAGCCGCTGAAACAGGTAAGCCTTTCAAGGTGGCTGCATCAACAACCTTTCTCTGCTCTTGCGAGCCCCACAAACAAGGGGGAACCCGGGCCAGCTCAAGTCATGGCAAACATGCGCCCCAAGCTTGGCGATGACCTATTTTGGCTCCTTGCTGATGGCCATCATATCGTACTTTCATCGAGAAATGAACCTCCGAGATGAGTGCCGTCTCTCGAATCCTTGCGTTGTCGATCCGGGGGGGAGTCGGCCAAGGACACCTTGGAGGCCAATCAAACCCCCAGGAGCGGTTCCGAAAACGTTCCCAGAAGCTGCTTTCGGGGGTGATATTTCGCAAGCGAACACGGCAATTGAGGCACACCAGCCTTTGGGAACCTGGTCCTAGCTGGAGATCTGAAGCACGGAAGACCTCGGGATGACCTCATTCTCTCCTGTCTTAGTCGAAGATGGGGGGCCACCTTGGGTGCAGTAGCACAGATGGGAAGGCGAAGTCAGATTAAGGTCGATTTGAGGTGTGAGACAGATAGGGACATCCCTCCCACCCCGACAAAGTCAATCTTCCTTTGGGAGCTGTTGTCATGGATTCCCTGGCCATCACCCAGCCCATTACTTATAGAGACATGTCATACTGCGCTCCATGTGCAAACCAACCTTCCTGGACGGCACGCCGTTATTCCTACAGTAACGGCCTCTGTCGAGTGTCTGCCCATTTAAAGGTGGACCTTGTCGCCCAGCCCGGATGTCATTCTCCGGCTTCCTCTCGCTCAAGCACCTTTGGTATTCGTTTCCATCAGGATCTTAATCAAATGGTCTTCTTTCCCTCGTCCCTCGCGGAACTGCTCCCGTTTCGCTCTGGATCCATTGAGCAGGTACCGCACTAGGTCTAACACTCAGCTGGAAGTGCCGCATTGATACTAATAATTCCGCGCGGGTTCCTCGACCTATTTAACCCATCTCACCTAACGTATAATTACAGTCTAGTTAGCCCACCTACTGATTTACTTGAAAAAAGGTCCAAGTGATACAACAGATTTGCCCCCAAAGACGGACGATACCGCGATCCGAAAAGGTTGGGGTCTTCAAGCTGAAAAGGCAAAATCCGCCTCGTCCGTTTGAACCCACAGACAGCCGCACAGCGCATGCCAAGAAACTCAATGGGGGCTCCTACAGCGGAACAGAATTGCGAGGCTGTTTGATCCTTTATATGCAAAGCGTCCCGAGCTCGACATTTGGGCCACGAACCATCCAGAAGCGGGAACGTGAAGCCACATCGTGTCTGGTATTACGCTAAGCTTTCCTTCCCAAAAGCCTAAGCCAGTTTGTGGTCCCCATATTTCACACGAGTCACTTTGATGTTATCACATGTTGGTTCACGGGGTCGTATACGACAAATAGTGGTAGCAATTATCACTCGTCTGCTGGTGATCCTATTGCTTGTTCGTCTTCTTTTTCTATCTTACATTGTAGGCAGGAGTCGGTCGAAGTAGGTAGTGACGGCCTGGGTGGTTGTCCCACCTTTATCCGGCCGTGATGACTAAGCCAGTTGTCCCACTTCGCCCAGGGCAGGTGCCAGCCAGCCCATGGTACCTGCCTATTACTCCTTATCAGCCTTTGCTGTTCCAACATCACATAACGGCATTTTTGCGAGTTGTTCGGCAATCATCAGCGAGTTCCGCTGGGCGCGCAACTTCTGAAGTTGTAATCAATTTACTCCCCATCCTTTCTGCCTGCTCTAACACGAATTACTGAACTCATGTAGTGAAATCGCCAGGGACATCACAGACTTGGCCCATGCTTCACCCACCACTTCTTGATCCTATCCTCCATGCTCCTATACTGGCATGTTCCTTGGCAAGCCTCATGCAAAGAAAAATTCGGAGGCCAATGTTTGTCCTCAAATGCCCACCGTCTTTCGTAAATGGGCAGAGCTTCGCCAGACACGGCCACTCCTTCTGTAATTCTCTCAACCCCGCCGCGATACTCCGGCGTTCTTCGTAGAGATAGTCAATCATGTTTCGCGGTAGCACGTGAACAAGCTTGGTCTCTGGAATCTTTCAACAACACTCCGTAGTTTTGTCGTCCGGCGTCCGTGTCTCTTTGAAACCCTCGCCACCGGCAACCACTTTGGCTCTCTGCTGCTCGAGGAAATCCCGTCGAACGCGTCCCATGTACCCACTGTAAGATGCCGTCCCCGACTCGGCCCCGGTCCCAGCCCCGGAATCTCGGCGATTCTCCATAAAATTCACCAAATGTGTCACGAGTTATGGCACGGAGCAATGGGCATATGAAGTATGGTAAAAGTGGCTTGTATTAACCTAAATAGAATCGAGTAAGGAAATATACTATATAAAAATAAATAAAAGAATTATACAATAACGTGCATGATAAGCGAGCGGATCGGACAAGCGAGCGGATCGCTCGACAGCAACCACTCCACGTATGTAAATCTTGATCAACATCAACAAAGTTTAATTAATTGAAACTATCCATAATCCTCTTCTCTAGACATTTCTCTCTGAAATGGACATGTGCGCGCATTATGTCCAGTGTTCCCGCAGACGCCACATCGCCGTTGACCTGTTTCTGTCCTTGGCCGACGGCCACTATGTTACGGCCAGCTAGTCGTAGGGGTAGTTTGCAGAAGTTGAGGCTGCGGAACTGGTAACAGTATTCGTAGTCGGGGATAGCTTCAGGGAAACTATGTCTGTCAATCGTAAGGGTGGGTAAGGCTTCGGTGATCAATCGTAGTCTTGTCAAGGTAGTAGCTGAAAGCGGATGTTAATCCTGATACGAAGTTAATTGCTGAAGAGCTATGGAAGTCTGTCCTAGAGTCCAGCTCAAGTCCATCCTTATATACAAGTCCTGATCCTGAACATGTCCCTTGTCCCTTGGGTCGTCTTGGGTCATTCTGATCCAGAATGATCGTTTAGCCCCCAAGTCGTGTTGGATCATATTGATCCCAAATGATCCTTATCTTATCATCACGTGACTTGTACCATAGTTCTTCCGTTCCGTGGGAGGGTGCCTTGTGTCCCCTTGTCCTGTGCACCCACTGTTAGTAATTATTAAGGTTATAAAGGGCTACGGCCCACTGCACTATCATCTCTCAACATCAGCCCATACGAGCTGAATTCCACGACCCTAGCGGTCTCCCTAGATGTAGGGCCATCGATCACGGTTCACGGGGACGCCGGTATATCTCGGCGGTCGGGACGAGTCCGGAAGCCGACTACAAAGGTCAGAGTGGTTAAGCAGGTCAACCACCAGGACAATTCTGAGCTCAAAGACGAGATCAATAAGCTTTCGAATCTAGTCCAGGACCTCTTACGTCGGGACGCCGAGAGGGAACAGTTTTTAAAAGACTGTTTAACAAAGATCGAATTCTTGGAGAGAGAGCTTTAGGAGGAGAAACAGCGTTCAAACCGGCATCAACGTGGTCTAGCAAGGTCTATCCCATCGACTGCGAGATGACGTCGGTACATAAGCCTCCAGTTTTCTCCAATAGCCGAATTATTCGATTGGGTGCATCGGCTGGAATTAAAACGGATTCTAATCGGAATATCATGGAATAATGTGTGATTTGCTGCTTCCTCTCATGCACGGTACGTAGCTATGTACCGACGTCATCTCGCAGTCGATGGGATACACGCTATTAGCACAGGGCCTAGCGAGACTGACCTGAGTTCCCAGGGGCATCCCTCGCACACAACCCAGAACCAGCCGCCCCCAGTCCGTTCATACGCGGCGGCGGCGAGCCAG